CAATTGTCCTTGTTGGGTAGAATAGCAGTTATAAAAATGAATGTGTTGCCTAGGTTTTTGTTCCTCTTTCAAATGATACCAATACTAAAAAAGGATGCCAACCTGGAAGAGTGGCAGAAAGGTATTAATAAGTTCGTATGGCAAGGTAAGAAACCAAGGATAAAATTGAAAATAATGCAGGACATACGAGAAAGAGGAGGACTGAAAATGCCAAATTTAAAATTGTACTATGAAGCAGCTGTTTTATCAGCAATTAGTGATTGGATTAATTTAACAAATGGAAGGATATTGAATATTGAAGGGTATGATCTGGTCTATGGTTGGCATGCTTATTTAGTGTATGAAAAAAGGGTGGATAGAGCATTTAAGAGTCATATACTGAGAAATGCTTTATTGCGTGTCTGGAAGAAATATCAATATAAGTTAAATGAAAAAATACCTATATGGACAGCACCCAGGCACGCAATAGAGAATACGAGTATAGAATGTAGACAGGATGTAATTACGTATAAAGATATTCTTATTATGGAGGGAGGTATATTAAAATTAAAATCTGTGAATGTGTTGAAAGAGGAGAAAATAATTCAAACATGGTTTCAATATGTACAATTACAAGCCAGATGGAGAAAAGACCAGAAAACTGGTGTTATACAAAGTGATGAAAATTTAATTAAACAAATTAGAGATCAAAGCCCAATGCATATAAAAAGATTGTATAATATACTGATAGAGATGGATTCGGAAACAGAGCTAGTTAAGGACTGTATGATAAAATGGGCGCAGAATTTTGAACAGCCAATAATGATGGAAACGTGGGAGAAAATATGGGTAACAAATGTGAAATTTACCAAAGCGCAAAATTTAAGGGAGAACTTTTATAAAATGTTTTATAGATGGCATCTAGATCCAAAAAAGTTATCTCGTATGTATCCGAATGTACAACCAAAATGTTGGAGATGTAATTGTGAGGATGCTACTTATTTTCATATTTGGTGGACATGTAAAAAGGTTAAAGCGTTTTGGATTAAAATCTGGTGGATTTTACAAAATATTCTTAAAAAAAGGTTGAAATTTACACCACAGCTGTTTCTTTTGGGTATAGTTACGGATTGTACAGTTATAGAGACCAAATTGATTTTGAATTTAATAACTGCAGCAAGACTGTTGGTGGCACAATATTGGAAGAAGCAAGATTTACCTACAATCCAAGAGTGGACAATGAAAGTTATAAATCTAGCGGAAATGGCAAAAATCTCAGCGTACCTGAAGGATCATTCAAATGAAAGATATTTAAGAGACTGGAGAAGGTGGATAGATTATATTCAAAATAAATATCGGAATAAGAAATTGCAGATAGGTTATGAATGATTATATAGATATTTAGTGTGTCTTTAAGTAATAAAGCTAGGCGGGTAATTAGGGAATTGAAGAAACAAGAGATGTGAAATGTCATAATTGTTTAGATTAGGATTGATTATGATTGTTGAAGTTTATACCCTGTAATTTGTTCTGGGAACGGGAGGGGGGGAGGGGGGAGGTTGAGGTAGGGAAGGGGGGGGGAAATATGTAAACTTTTTGTAAAACTTTTCAATAAAAAAAAAAAGCTCTTGTTCAAATTGCTTCTCTTTCTCACCCTCCACTATGGCTAACACTGAGGAAGTACGTGGAGATGCTGCACCAGGTTTAAAAACATTGAAATAAAATTCTTCTGCTTTTTGAAGGGTATTTAATCGATATCTCTCTCCTTGATACCTCAATATTATGCCAACTGGAGTGTCCCATCTAAATGGAATTTGTTGTTTCTTTAATTCAGTCACCAAAAATCCAAAATCTTTTCTATCTCTTAGCATCTTAGGTGGCAATTCTTTGTAGATCCCAATCTCTCTTCCATCCACTTGAATAGTAGAAACAAAAGACTTTTGTAAAATATCATTTCTTATTCTTCTATCTGTAAAATATATCACCACATCTCTGGGCAATTGCCTTTGCCTTGCCACCCAGGAATTCACTCTATAAACCTTGTCAATCTTGCATAAAATCTCCTCAGGATCAACCTTTAACATTACAGCAAGAGCATCAGCACAAACCCTTCTCAAGTCTTCTCTATTGTTCTCTTTTATGCCTCTGAGTCTTACAGCAAACTCCATAAATCTAAATTGCATCATTGTCACTTCATTTTCAAGCCTTTGCGTTTTATTATCAACATTGGAAATTTTATGATCAGCTTCCTTCATTTTGGATTCTACTTCTGAGCTAAGTTGTTCCACTTTTTTATCAATCTGGACCACTGCTTCTGACAAACCAGTTATAACTGTCAGTATGTCCCGTTTCATCTTGTCATACTTTTCTTGAACCACCTCCTTAAATTCCTGCTGAGATTTTTCAAATTTCTGGTCTAAAACTTCATTTTGATTCCTCAAAGCCACAGCAATAAATTCCTTCAAATCTTTAAATCCAGACTCTTGTGTTTGGCTCTGTGTCTGCAAACTTAAAGGCTGCTCTTGTGGCTTGTGAGTGGGGGAACCCCTCCCTGCAGCTTTAGCTGGCTTTGTCTGCTTTGAAGCCATTCTTCCACGCAGCCTGATTCTTTCTAAAAAAGATGTCCTCTCTCCCTTTCCACCACAAAAACCTTTCAGAAATTTCCCCAGCTTTAGTCAAGTCCAAAGGGAGAGGGAACAGATCAATTCACTTTTAAAAGAACTTTTCCCTTTTCTTCTGGCCAGCGCTGTTACTTTTTGTTACTTTGTAGCGCAATGAGCTCAAACAATTCCACTTTCGCTTTCAGCTTTCGTTATTGCTAAAGCCGGGCGCCATTTTAAGAAACTTTTACTTTTTCTCCGTTACTGAATTCATTCACAGGGCTAAAGAAAATACTTGCAGTTTGAATTTCAAGTCCAGATTCCACCCTGCTTATTTTTTAAAAGTTCTCTTGGCTTTCACTCATTACGTTGGTCGCACCGTCTGGCTCTGCAAACTGCAGAGACCGGAGCCTCAGCGAGCTGAATAGGGAGCCTCACCCTGCTTCCTCCCCAGAAGCCACAAAGACAATCTGGGGACTTCGTAGGGGGCTCTACCTTGTCTCACCGGCTCTTCTTCCAATTCCTCTGGATCGTGGAGATTTCCAAGCCGCTTCTCAGCTGTAGAAGCGGCTCTAACGGGTGGCGGGGCTGGCGGTCTTAAAAGGACCATCTAGCGACGACAACGAAGCCAACTGGAAGTCAAGGCAGATAAAAGTTGATGGTTCTTCTCAACTGACTTTGTCTCCGGAGAAGGGCGGCATATAAATCAAATAAAAAAAAAACTGGAAAAGTGACTTTAAGATTAAAATAACAGTATAAGACTAGAAACAACATAGCTTGTTGAGCCATAATGTAGGTACATTCTGTATATTTGAATGTCTTATTTTTACATTTTTCAATACATCTTAAAACTTGTCATCAACTAAACATACTGAAATCAACTAAAGCAACAAGCCAACAAAGCAATGTTATTACAATAGCCCTTGTATTTATACTACCTAAGTAGCATTAATAACACACATGCATGCACATATAAAACAACACTAACTTTTCAGGTAAGCTAATGGACATGCAGTTGTGATTATATATCTTCTTTGTGGTCATATGAACTGTTGCTCTTCCATTTATATTCAACTCCTGCACCAACCCATCTAGTCTAGGCAATACCAATAAGTGATTTTTTTCCTTTAGGTTAAAAAAAGTTAATCCGATGACAATATGTGAAGCAATCTAGTTGCAGTAGGTGGAGGAGGCATTAAAAACGCCAAATTTGTTTTCAAGAACAAAAATAATTTCTGACCAACCCAGATTGGATCCTGCAAAATTAATCTGTATTATTCAAAATGAAGCTCTTGACATCTGTCCTATATGCTGGTCTAACTTGAAATAAGCAGAACAGCAGTTGGAAGCTGGAAAGTTTTATATATTCCTATGGTGGAATTAATTGATAATCTTGAACCTTTTATGGAAAAACTCTTAAAAAAAGTTTTTGCACAATAGATTCACCATATCCTTATTTGTCAACGAAATATTTGTCCCCACATCAATATTTGTCAACCAGGCTATTCATCCTTGTCAAGCAAGGGATTGCATGATTGAATGAGCCAATCCACAGATGTGAAGATGTTGTGAAGATGGTCATCCTCCAAGGAGATAAGGAACTGTTCCCAGACACTTTTTTCAGGAGGCTTCAGAACTGAGACAAAACAGATGGCCCTCCTCCCCTTACACATTCCCCAAAGGTAAATCAAAGAACAGGGCAGATAGATGTCAGAACTAGAGTTATAAACCAAGGGATTACAGGATATGTAGGAAACAGGAAAAGGGTAATAAGTGAATAAATGATCCAGCCCCCCCCCCCCGCGAAATGGCAGTATCTTGATAGGGATCTGACAGTACCTATATTAAAAATAGTATACAGGTTTAATGAGGTATGGCAATATATGCTATGTTCATTTTCCATTCAGGTTAGTAATTTATAGTATATATTATTTCTTTTATATTGTTAAAGCTTTGATTTGCTGGAATAGCTTTAGGTGTATGTAATCATCACTTTATCTTCATAACTAAGTCTTATCATACATATAGATGAATGTAGAATGAAGTTACAGTATGTCCGCATGACATCTTTGCAATTGTTAGGATGGCTGATGTATCTTTGTATCTTTGAACTGTCTTATAGTGAAACCTAAAAAAAATATTGATTTGTGATGTAAGATTGCAGCTGCATGAATTTTAGCCTTTTCTAATTTAAAATTGGGAACCAATTCAATTACTAATTTTGACATCATAAATCAATAATTTTATGTGTTTTACAATAAACAGATTTTGCTATACATGGAAGCTTATGCAATTTGCCTGGCTGTATGATGTTACATGCTAAATCTTCCTTTGCTTATCTTTGCAAGAACTTAACAGATACATTTAAAATGCATTCTATTTTCCTTCTTGCTGCATTGTTTTTTCTCTTTTGTGTTGTAGGATCAGGATATTCACCAATAGATGATGATGAAGATGTGTATGCACGCAATAGATATAAAGGTGAATGCTTTGCTTATATACTAATGAGGATCATCTGTTGGCAAGAGAGCTTTTTTCTTTTCCTGCTTGGAGCATGAAAGCTTAGGTCTGTACCAGCCAATTTTTGTACAATTTGTTTTATGATATGTTGTGAACAGTTTATTCAAATTTCATAGTAATTTCATAGGTCCATCAGAATTTTAATTTTAGCGCTACATCACTGTTACTTAGTTTTAATCATGTTTCTCCACTATAGTCTGCTTTTCAACTTTTGCAAGCATTATGGACTTCTTAAGGGAGCTGAGTCTTGCATAGCGTGTCTAAAATATGATAATTTGAACATGTTCATTAGCACTCTAAAGGAACATTCTGCTTTGAATTTTCTACATTCCATTTGTTTGTTTTCCTGACTATACATATCTTCAAGAATCTTCTCCATGACCAAAGTTGAGAATCACTACAGAGTATCATATGAGTAATGTGCTCAGTAATCCAAGAATTAGAACAATGAAGCCTGTTCATACATGGATACAGAAGTTTATAGTGAATTAAAAATGAAGAAAATTGTATAAAGCATAGCATTGTACATTCATTTCTGTAAATATATTCACAGTTTTGAAGTTGAGTGCCCAGGCTTTTTTTTTTATACTTAATATAAGTCCTCATTTTTAGTGTATTATCATTGACCTGGTAAACCATGTGGATTACTTGACCTACTGTACATTAAGTGATACAATAGTATTAGCATTATCTATCAGGATATCAAACTCACAAATTAGAACATAGTTTATACAGTAGAGTGCACTACTTAATTATTTATGCTCTTACCTCCATCAAATTCTAAAATGACTGATGCAAACATTTATATATTTTACAGAGCTTCCCATACTCCATCTAAGACTATCATCTGATGCAGAAATGAGTAGTAATATTTTTCTTCTTATCTTAAAAATTTGACTCTTGCTATTATTTTGTAAACCTTCAATTGTCTTTTTAAAAAGACTTTTGCTTTATAGGAATCTCCGCCCCCCCCCCAAACCTAAATTGTCAAAGCTGCTATAGAAGGATTGAGCTCTCTTTCCAATGATCATGAAAGAAGAGAAGGCACCCTTGAGGCTCAGCTTTTAGGCAGAGAAATAGTTGGTTAAGCCAGAAAAGAGCAGGATGTGTTGCTCACAGTTTGATTAAGAAGACAGTTATTGTGGCATGTGTCCCATGGTTTCAAAGTAAGTATTTCCCTTCCAGAATTCAAACAAAGCAAGCCAAATAAATAGAAGATACTTTGGGTAAGGAATTTTTTTAACAGCAATATCAGTGAACATATCTAGAAAGCTTAGTGCCCTCCAATTCCAATCATACTTGCTGGGCCTGAAGGAAGCTAAAAGCCAAAATATTTATATTTCATACTTCTTTATTATATACCTCTTTATTAACCCATGTGCAGGTGATGACACCAATGATTAATTGGAATTATGTGCTCTCTTTCCACCTCTCTTAAGGCAGCATACATAACTCTCCCCTTCCACTTTTATCCCACCAACAAAGATAAATAGATTGAGATAAACTAGACTAAGTGATGGCAATTAGCCCAAAGTGATCCAGTCACATTCTGTGACTGGTGATGGATCTGAATCAGCCAGACACTTAATTTTAAAAAAAACTGTTAGAGTGATGATACTTAAATTACGGAGCTGGCACTGTCTTGCTTGCAGTGTTAGGTACACATTTTCTGTGGCAGTCCTCCTAACATGGAATTTGCTGTCCCGTAGGCCCATGTGACCCCTATCCTTTGCAGACAGCACTTAAACCATTCTTTTCTATGGGACCTTGGAGGATAGTTTTCCTTATACTTATCTTTGTTTTTTAAATATTTCTTTTTACTGTGGATGTTACCCAGAGCCCAAAGATTGAGTAACATAATGCTGTGAAAAAGCAAGTAAGGTTGGTTTAGTATATGGTTTGTGCTAATTAATAAATATGAGTTAGTATCCTAAGTCTCCATAATACCTTGATAGTCAAATTTATTCACCTTTAGTATGTCAGAATCTAATAGTTGAAAAAGACTTCAGAAACTATCTACTTATAGACTTCCGGTGGCACCGCAGGCGCTGACAGACGCTCCTTTCGGACCGTCAGCCCCGCAATTTCGTTAAAACCGCCAAGACAGCGCAAATCAGCTGTCTGGCGGCTTGGAAACCTTCCCCTCGGGAGAAGAGAGGAAGGGAGCAGCCAGACAATGGTAGAGCTCCCCAAAAGCCCTAGGAGCAATTCTGGGGCTTGGAGGGTGAGAGCTCCCTAGTAGTTCGACTGAACTCCGAATCCGAGGCTTTTCTGCTTCAAGCAGAACAAGATGCCGCGACCACCCCTGCAATCAACATTCAGATTCAAAATAAGCTTAAAGCAGGCAGAACAAAAACAGGAGTCCTAGCAACTGCAAGTACTGAACTTTAACTCTGTGTCTATACTTTTTCCTTCTAAGACTTTTAAAACGAAAGCAAAAATGGCGCCTGAACTGGAACACGGCGTGAAAGTGAAAGTTATAGTGAAAGTGATAGTTAACATCGTTAGCACTTCTAAGGCTGTTTAAGACTACTGGGTTCTACAACAAAGAAAGAAAGATTTAAAGTGGAAAGACTACAGTTTGGACTTTAAATAAACTATAATACTTAAAAAAGATTTTAAAACATTTGGATTTATTGATTTGGTTGCTGTAGGAAGTATAAATTGAAAGCTAAAAATGGCTTCTAAGCAAATAAAATCTGGCTTTAAAAGTGCTGGAGGATTGCCAGCACAACCATCAAAACTACAATCTTTGTCTACTTCAAACCCACAAATATTGACTTTGGAAGTTCTACAGGAATCTCTGCAGGACGCTTTGAAGCAACAAATTTCTTTTTTTAGAGGGGAAAATTAAGGGAGTGTCTGAAGAGATGGCTGAAATTAAAGAAGTCATACAAATTCGGAATAAGGAAATAAAAGAAGACATAGTAATGGCATTTCAATGTCTGGCAAAACACATTGAATTGTTGGATGAGAGAGTAGAAGAAATTAATCAGTCCAATTTGAATTTGAAAAATAAAATGGATGAAGTTCAGACCAAGGTGGATAGGGCAGACGATGAAGTGGTGATGTTACAGTATAGAGCGATGGAATTTGCCCTGAGAGTAAGAGGTTTGAGAGAACACAATCGAGAGAACTTGAGAGAGATCTTTGCAGAGGCTTTTGCAAAGATAACTGGGGAGCAACAAGGAGATCTCTCATTGCAAATTGACAAAATATATTGTGTTAATTCCTGGTTTGCCAGACAGAATCAATTGCCAAGAGACATTGTGATTTATTTTACAATGAGGAGGACCCGAAATGAAATTTTACAAGCTTTCTATAAAAATAAACTTCAAATTGCAGGACAAGAGGTTTTAGTGCTGAAAGAAATTCCCCCCAAAATGTTGAGAAGCAGAAAGGAGTTTGCTTTCTTGGTGGATGAACTTAGAAATCGACAGATTCAGTTTAGATGGGATGTTCCAGCTGGACTGGTGGTGAATTATATGGGAGAAAGATATCGTCTTAACACAATTTGGAAGGCAAGAGATTTTTATACTAATGTATTAAAGGCTGGATGGCCACCATCTCAGGAAATGAGGAGAAGAAAAGAAGAGCTGGCGATACAGGGACAGAAGGAAAGTAAACAGCCACAAGCTGCAGGAGAGACCTCGCTTATTGAAGAAGATTTATTGCAATTTTTTGGTACTGATCAACCTTTGGAAGTAGCAGAAAAAAGAGAAGAACCAAAAGATCAAAGGCAGACTCGCGCTGCAGCAAAGTGAAAAGAACAAGACTTAAAGTTGCAGCAAACCCAAATGAAAGCTCAAGAAGCTACAAAAACAGAAGCAGTGGGAGGAGCAAGGCCAAAGAGAAAGGTGAAGGAGGATCTTCAGCTGGTGCTCTTATAGCTTCAAGGTGCCAAGAATGGTAACTAAATTTTTGACCTGGAATGTCAATGGTTTGAATTCACCACAAAAGAGAAAGAAAATATTTCATTATTTGAAACAGTTTAAAAACGATGTAATTTTCCTACAAGAAACACATATTAGAGTGACAGATCAAAAATACTTGATAAATTCAAGATTGGGGACACATTTTGTTGCATCTGCTCCAGAGAAGAAAAATGGTATAGTTATATACCTAAGGACAGACTTAACAGCCAAATTAATTGAGGCAGATGCTCAAGGAAGATATATTGCAATTGAATTCCTAATAGAAGGGAAGAAAACACTTTTATTTTTATTTTTTTAATTTATTATTAAATTTATATCCCGCCCTTCTCCCCGAAGGGACTCAGGGCGGTGAACAGCCAAGAATTAAAATAATATGCAATATAAAAGTTAAAATAATTAAAAATAAATTAAATTAAATGGCTGCCCCAATTTAAAACCCCTAGCAATACAATTAAAAACCCCTAAAACCTATTCAGGCCAGGCCGGCTTGTTGAAATAAAAATGTCTTCAGGGCCTTACGGAAAGTGCGGAGATCTGGAATTAGCTGTATTCCAAGAGGTAGCTCATTCCAGAGGGCGGGTGATCCCACAGAGAAGGCCCTCCCCCTGGGGGCCGCCAGCCGACATTGCTTGACCGACGGCACCCTGAGGAGGCCCTCTCTGTGAGAGCGTATTGGCCGGTGGGAGGTTATCGGTAGCAGCAGGCGGTCTCGTAAATACTCTGGCCTTAAGCCATGGAACGCTTTAAAGGTGAGAACCAACACTTTGAAGCACACCCGGAAGACCACCGGGAGCCAGTGCAGCTCGCGCAGGAGAGGTGTTATATGGGAGCGCCATGTCGCTACCATGATCACCCACGCGGCGGCATTCTGGACCAGTTGGAACCTCCGGGTGCTCCTCAAGGGGAGTCCCATGTAGAGAGCGTTAGCGTAGTCCAGGAGAGAAGTGATGAGAGCATGAGTGACTGTGCATAAGGAATCCAGACTCAGAAAGGGGCGCAACTGGCATATCAGGCGAACCTGATAAA